TAGGGTACGGAATGGGCCGGGTTGGGCCGGGCTTGTCTAAACCCGAGTCCAAGCCCAAAAAAATTTTTAAACCCAACCCGGTCTAGAGTACAAAATGGGTTGGGTCGGGCCGGGCTTGTCTAAACCCGAGTCCAAGCCCATTATAACCCAGCAATTTATAAAATCTACTTCAATTTGGTTAATTTATTTTAATATTGCTCAATTATTACTGTATTACATTTATTTCTGAATACATATATATTTTATAAAAAAAATTGAAGAAAAAAACTACAAGTTAATAATCATTCCAGTCCTGTTTTTTTGCAATTCTTATCCAATCTCGACCACATATTAACATTTCAACAGTTTCTGGAGTAAGATTTGACCGATAATCATCAATAATTCTTCCTGCTGTACTAAATATCTAAATATAAATTATGAGTTAGCTTATATTTAAAAAATAATACTTATAAAGATAATAACTGGAACTTAAAAAATCTATTTACTGCTTCAGATGCAACTGAAGTTATCGGAATTGCAAGAATATCTCTTGCCATTAATGATACGGAAGGATATCTTGGTGCATTTATCTTCCACCAAGCTAGAACGTCAAATGGCTCTGATCGAGAACGGGGAAAAAGTGGATCAGCAAGATATTGTTCAAACTCATCCATTTCGTTTTCAACATTAGCTTCATTAGCAAGAAAGGTATCGAAATCTTGCATTTCTTCATCATAAAAAATATCAAAAAAATTCTCTAACGTTATAGTATTAGAAGTAACTGCATGCTGCATGTATGTTGAATTATAAATTGTTGTAGCTCTACAATAATAGATAATTATGAAATTAATACGCGATAGTATTACAAACTAAACTGAAATATTTGTCTTTGCGAAACTTACCTCATTTTAATATAATTTAATTTGTTTTCTACCTCGGTGTATGACAAGTTCATTACCTGCTTATATATATGAGTTAGCAATGACATCTTATAACGAGGATCCAATATCGATGCAATACAATGCATGTCTCCCATATCTGCCCAATATTTATCGAACTTGGATTGCATTGGCTTAACCATTTGACAAAAAAAAAGATCCGAGTTAGCAGCACTTCGTTCGAGATGCATTTTAATTTTCAATAAATAAGGAAGGAAAATATTTGCTGTAGAATATGTGCTTCCTGATATAATATTCGTAACTATATTAAAGTATAGTACTAGTTAGTATAGCTCATAGTAAAGTATATAAATGAAGTATAAAGTTATTCAATATTTAATATTACTTTCATAAAATGGTTTTAAAAAATTACAAAGACTATTAGCCTTTTTCCACTCTTCATCTGAAGGCATAAGTGGCTCGAAACTAGCATCTCGTAATGCAAGACGCTCAAATACACTTTTATACGGAATTGTGGATATCAACATCAAGTATATCGAATTCCAACGAGTAATTACATCAAGAGCTGGTCGCCGGCTTGAGACAAGTTCATTGCAACATCCAATTACAGAATCTTCAAAATTTTGCTGTCGACGTTGTGAACTGTGAATCCACTTTACACAACCTCGGATCTATATTATTAACTACTAGTAAGTATTATACTAAAAACATTAAACAATTATTTATTTACCTTGCTCGTAATATCCTTAACTATTTTAAGTCCATCAATAACTATAAGATTCAATATATGAGCGCAACAACGTTGATGCAACAAACTTCCATTCGCAATGAGCATGTTTTGTTCACGAAGCTTGCGTTTTATATCAATTATTGCAGCGTCATTGCTCGTGGCATTGTCCATGGTAATTGCTAATGTCTATAAAATAGTAAATGTGTGTCAATAAATATATAAGTAAAAAAAAAACTTGCTAAATTACTAAATACCTACCCTAGATACAACATTCCAATCATTAAAACACTTAAAAAGCATATCACTAATAGCAATTCCTGTATGCGGCGCAGAAATCACTTTAAATGATAAAATTAATTTTTGAAGGTTCCAATCCTTATCGATAAAATGACCTAGTAGCGATATATAATAATTAAATAATAGAAAAATATATGTATGTATGCTAAATAAGAGATATATACATGTAACTGCCATATATCCAAGAGTTTGGTTTGATGTCCACAAATCGGTCGTATAACTCAGATGCCCGGGCGTTTCTTGTATCATTATACGAATCTTTATCTCGAGATCTGCAACAAGATTCTTGCAATCTTCGCGTGTTGTCTTTTCACTCATTACTTTAAACTGTGGCTGCAAATTATTAACAAATTTCAAGAATCCCTCATGTTCAACCATGCGAAATGGATACTCATGCATGATAATCATATTTGCCAAATCTTGACGGCTTCTCTCTTGAGAAAACTTGTAAGTAACGACACTTGATGTAGAATGAGAAAACTGTAATGTTTGCTGCGAATTGTCAGGCTTAATATGTATATTACATTTTGTATTTTTTAGATGGCGAATCAAGGCACTGGTTCCCGTCTTGTTATCATGTTTTAAAATACTTTTACAATATGTGCATTGGGCACGGTCCACTAGCGATTATATAATATTAGTTTGCAGAAATACAAAATAATTTAATACTATAAAATATCATTTATTTGTCTTCTTACTTTGCTGAGGATCGTGTTTGATAAAGTGACCTTCCTTAAAAACCCATGATTGAGACTTGCCGATTTTAAGTTTCTTAGTAGCAGGGGTTGTTTCAGAACTTTCACTTTCACTAACGATTGAACTCATACTTGCTTCTAGTTAAACAAATGATCTAGTAAGACCACAAATCTCTAGCTTAAGAATGTACGGAATTATAGTTCCTTAATGCACTAATTATACCACAACCGTTTCTATTAACCTTATATTCTTTAACGACGCAAATTGATTTTCAATATTTTTTTTAGAAAAAAAGTGAACACAATGCGTATCTTTTTATATTAATTCGAATAACGATAAACATCATTTCCACATGTTTCCTTTCTTATTTGGATAGTTCATCAAACAATCAAATCGTGAACTTTATTAGCCCGACGAAATAAAAAAATAATAATTGAAGCCATCTAAATTTATTGTCAGAACCATTTTATCAAATGGTGAAAGCTCAAAATTGAACGAATAAAAAAGTACTAACCAGTTAAGTATTTGGATTACATGATTTTACCTTTGTTTTTTATTATGGCTAGGAGAGTGACGTATAATATATGCGCAGTATAGCTCCAACCGTTACTTTGAGTCATGTCGATTGAATGCTATAACGTCTCGCACGGACATAGTATTTTGTAAGGACAGGACTTGAATATTAACATATTAACGATAGTTAAAACTGAACAAAAGAGTGTTCACATTTCTATACATTCTCTTTTTATCTTACATCAGAGACGTCATGCTATCTCGTGTTAATATGCACGCCACATCATACAACAATCATGATACTAAGTTTGATGCTTAATTACAATCGTTATATTATTGGCTAGCATATTAGGTTTTTACGGGTATTATCGGGCTCTGCTGGACCAGTGCACAAAGTCCAGACCCGACCCGAGACCGGCCCATTTAATAATGGGTTTAAAAATATGAGCCCAGTCCAGGTCCAAGCCCGGCCCGGCCCACAAATTTACGGGTTTAGCCCGGCCCATTCCGTACCCTA